TTCAACGTCGGCATTATAGAGTTGGTCACGATAATATTTTTCGTTGGACATCGTCTCGCAATACGAAAGCGCAAACGACAACAGTTATAGTCCGTCCGTATTATAGACAAACTTAAAAGTTGTATCTGTTCGCACTAATATACTCGAACGATGTTCATGAAAAGTATAATATTCTATATATTAATACTTTGTAAATTTAAAGCGTCGATATAAAAAGTTTTAAACGGCACAACTGATACCGTCGACGCACACCGTGCAAGCGGCACACGGAACGCCGGCGGGCCGTACAGTGACTCGCCGCGCTGCCGTGTGCTCACATATAGCTGAACTAGCCGGGTGAAAGCGACGATCCATACAAACTCTGACGAAAATATTGAAATTTTGATAGCCGCCTCGCATCTCGCCCGATGGTCGTGTATCGTGATATTATCGATCCGCGAATCGAAATAAAGTATTTTTATATTGCGCCCCCGCCCTCCTGGCCGCCCCTGCCCCCGCGCCCCGTAACTTCGGGCAATTTTTTTTTATTTTATTACATTCAATCGTTAGTTCTATTTAAAAATGTAATAAGTAATAATAGTGATTACATATACCATTACGTTCTTATTATTATCATTATAATAATAATAATAATAGTAATAATAATAATAATAATGATGATGATGACGATTATTAATATATATATATATATATATATATATATAAACCGGTCAAGTGCGAGTCCGGACTCGTACGTGAAGGGTTCCGTACCTCGATTAAATGTTTTGAAAGTAGCCTAAGTCTCACTAATAGGGTAAAAATAATGTATTTAAATTATAAATAATTTATATTTTTCATTCAACGACAAAAAGCACATTAGAGAAATAATATATAATGATATTTTATAATGTTCGAATAGTTTTTTTTTTTGTTTTCTCTTTTTCTTTTTTACTGTATTATCTAATATATAATAGGGGGTTGGGGAAATGAAATGAAACTATAGTCAGGTATCCTATTATATTTTAACGACAAAAATAATGCTAAATGCATAATGACTGTCCTGACGACGGATCGCGTCCTCGTAGACGGTAAAACGATGCCGCAGTACGTACCGGTTTCCGCGCACGTTGGAACTCTTCTTCGACTAAGAACGGCCCAGACTTGAGACTTGGCGTACGGCCGTCGCTTATCATCGTTCGGCTGGCCGTAGAACTAAACACGATGTTGCGGTGAAAGTTTCTATTTCTATAAACAAATATTATCTATAAATAAAATGAAAAAATATACAATAGACGATGATACTCTTAAAACTATACAATAAACAAATGATAGTCGAAGATAGTTGAAACCTGACGATAAATTGTCAGTCAGACTTCGGCATCATCGGCTCTCGTCATAGACGGACGCTTGTCGAACTCACTTATCCTGTCTTATCTCTATCTATAATATTTTCCTATTTAAAATCAGTTATTTTAGATAGAACATCTCATCGATACTCGGTCCCTCCTTGTCTCGCAACGGGACCCTGCCGTAAGACCGACCGCTACCCACCTCCTGTTAGAGCGGGAAGCAGATAGCTGCCGGTGGCTTACGGCGGACGGACGCTGCCCGTTGGCTGCATTATGCGGGAAATCGGTGTGTCCGACGTGTTTGACAGCGCCCACGGGCGTAGACTATGTAGACTCCGCCTTCGGTCGCGCCTCTCCCGGTTGAGGTGAAGGCGGTATATACGCTGCACGCACCGATCTGCAAGTGAACATTGACTTATTAATATGTATACCTAATAATAGTTCGGTAACGTGAGCAACAATTAAAATTGTATAGATATTGCGTTCTGTGACGTAGGTTAAGTGGCTCATACCGCATAAGTAAGTTACCGTCTAAATAATACAAAACGATTTAACATTTATTGTAAACTAAATAGAATAAACTACCTATAGCTAGGTATAGTTTTTATGGGCGCATATATATACACACGTCTTTCTGCTTGATTTTTCCACTGTTCTAGTTCCAGTCGCCTCCGGGCGTTTTATTTTATCGTTTTGTAATTATTATTTAAATAAATCATAATGAATTCAATTCAATTTAATTAAATGAATCAAATTTTATTGCAGGTGTTCGATCCGTTTTT